ACATTTTATGAGCCATTCATTCTCCGAGCCTCACAAGACTGGAACAATCTTCCAGGATCAATCACGGCCATCCTCCATCATTTTCATGTTCATGACGTTTTAAGCTTTAGTGTACTGCAATGCGACTAACCAATCATGTTTATTACCTTGGCAAACGGTCTGATTCTTGTTTAGTGTGTTAAAACTGCTACTGTCACCTGTTTTTACTGTTAATATTCTTTCTCACTAACAGTGTAATTCTCGCCAGTATAGTTACAACTTGTGCTGTTATTTTTTAGCAAATATTGTATCCACAGAAGAAAGCTTGTATTATGTTTCTTTTTAAATGTACCACTTCCCTCTATAGTGCCTCTGGCCCTGAGGGTAATTTTAAAGAAACAAATATATAAACTCATTGATGCCCGGATTTGCCAAGTGAGAGCTATAGTTAATCTTATTGCTTAGCTTGGTTCTTTCTACGGTCACGCTTCTCATGACATGCGGCTTCTTGGCTTCTTCTTCCTCCGTCTCCTCGGCCAGCTTCCCCCTCACTAACTCGTTCCCACGACGAAGTTTGTTTTATTTCAGGCTCCGGACGTCCCCTTTCTTATGTGCTGATGATTCTTACCGAGCTGTCTCTTTTTTTTTCTTATGTACAAGATTCAACGCTGGCTCTTCTGAAATTGTTGTAATGTTGTTTCACCGGCGGCTCCATTGATGCCATGCCAGATGGCACGGCAAGCGGTGCTGCCAGTTGCGGTGGTTGCCAGGCGACGGCTCAGTTCGCGGGGCGGTGACCGACCACCGCGAAACGGTGGTTGGTGACTGAATTGCTTACAACAACCGAGCGTTGGGCGAGTAGGTATTTGATTGCGTATGGCATTTTGCGCAAAAGAAGGACAAGAAGGAAGACAGCACAAATAAACGCAGACTAACAAGTGAAGTTTACTTTCAGAAAAAAAACACATATAAAAGACAGGCAAGGGCACGCGGGTATGATTACATGTTGGTGGTTAGATAATCGATCTCGAGTTAACAAAGGTCCACCGATGGCCACGACACCTGTACGCCACGTCACTTATGTTTTTATATTGCCTCAACGATCTCTCGCGTGGTCCGATTTTTCAGCCTCAACAACGCTTACGGTTCAACATTCAAGATTTATTGAGGTTGTTTTGAGTACAATTCGTCTAATTCACAACACTGATTAGACCCATAGCAATAGACCAGTAGGGGGTCTAACGGGAGAAGGTATACAAGCAGAATACAATCTGTATAAAAAATCAGAACATGCAAAAACTTTTTTTCATGAAAACGAACAAAATACATGAGAGATTTCATTAGAGTTTAATGTGACGCCTATGCATGATAACACGTACGGAAATATAAAGAATACACATTGTGACACTTTGTTCCTAATCAAACAAAAAACTAGTACAGAAGAAACATTAAATTCTGTGTAAGGTTTTGTACATTGTCATTGCTATTGTTCTACATGTAGAAAATAATTTTAAGTGCGCTTGTGAACGCCCTAGTATTTTTTCTTTGAAGTGGTATGTTACTCCACACTTTAACTCCTTTGAACTGTAATAGGCATTCTCCATACAGATTCCTCATAGCGTTACCTTTTCCTTCACTTTTGAACTTTCTCTTTTGTCGTTTACTGAGGGCGGCCAATGTTTGCAGGGGTAATCGAACTGTTCTAGTCAGTTGACTTGACTGAAAAAAGCATCCTTCACTCGATATGGGCAAGACTTACGCAAGGTTGACACCAGACAAGACGTGGCGTTCCTTCAATTAACTATGATTGGTGGGAACTAAAGTCAAGAATTGGTTTCATAGATCACGTGTCCTTGCCTTTCTTTCATATGTGTGTTTTTTTCTGAAATTACACTTCAGTTGTTTGCCGGCGCCTGTCGGTGATCTCTACCTTCTTGTCTGTTTCTTGTTTGCGCGAAATGTCATCCTCACTGAATCGTTTGCAGCACAGAGTAACCACCTTTGTTGTACACGGCGAAGTAACCGGTGTGCTTACATGCCTTTCTTTGTATAATGATGAACACAGCACGAGCTTACAATGAATATTTCTGCTCAGCGACTTGTAAAGTTTTATTGTTATAACCGAGTTATGATTGAGGCACCTTTTGACGGATTTCCTTAGGCATTTTGAACCACCTGGGTTTCTTGAACGCGTGCCTAAATCGAAGTACACTGACCACTAGAGCAGTTCAACTGCATCTAAATGGAACTACCGTGGCTGATGTAGCACAGTTACATTTGGTTGAGCAACCCGAGCAACACATACCTCCTAGAACGTTTCGTACGGTAGAAGAATTATTTATTGTTTATATATAGTTCTCACTGGCTATGCAAATAATTATACATAATTTGCATTGGGTAAAAAACACTAGAAAACATGTGTAAAAGCAGAAGCATTACATGCACCAACGTTTGCGCAGAGGCAACATCTGTAGCATCGTTTGTTTTTCTTTATGTACTGTCCTTGTGGCCAGCCAATGGCTGTCAAGTGTAAATTATCTGTGCACACAACTGCTCGTGTTGAGCATAACATATTACGTTTTGTGAAAAACCATCTTAATTGCTTTAAGTATTCTTGTTTCTCAACGGGCACGTTGAGGAAGAAGGATATGGATGGCCCAAGAAGAAGGATAACCCTGCGCATATGACGTTACTAGCCAACTGTTACAGGCTGTACATCGGTTATGTAACATTAACGCATGATTAACATCTTCGTATATTTTTATGGAAAAAAAAAATAAGATATTTCTGTGCTGGTGCAGCGTGTGTGCCGCTTATACTGCGTATTTTTTAGCTACTTTGTACAGTAGCGAGCAATGTGACAGAGAACACCGGACAACCCTTTAATTATTAGTGTACTAATCAGAATGTGACCCTTTTAAGCGGCAAAAGAGTCCATGTTGAAGAATTGGTGTAAGAGCTGATTGGAACATCGTGGCTAAAAAAGGAAGCGCTGAAACGTTCTCTAAGAGGAGATATAAAAAAAACTTGCTGTTCTTCTTGTGAACCGTCCTTGTCAGCTTTGCAGCGTTGCCAATTTCATCCATGCAATGGGTGTACCATTTCGCTTGAGTACTTGGTGTAGTGCATACTTTCATGCTTGCCAAAGTGTTTGATCGTTATTACCTTCAACCGTTGCTCTCAGTGTTCTGTCTTGAATAGCTTACGGCTGTATACTCAAGCCTAAATCCTACGCGGTATATGCAAATGTTCAAATAATGTAGATCTGTCTGAATTGTTCACACCAGTTCAAGTGTGGGCTCCATTCCGTCTTCGTATTTCGCTACAGGGGATTTTACAAAGTACGGTAACCGCTGAATCAACAGCAGACGTGGGCCTGCCTGACCAAGAACGCACGACAACCAATGCTATCCAGGAAGGAAGTAGGGTCAAGAGAGGCCGTCGTTCGCGAAAGAGCAGTTCAGCGGTAATAGATCAGGAAAACGCCGGACAGCCTGACCAGGAGCGCACTGCAACCAGCGCTATTCAGGAAGAATCGAGAGTCAAGAAGGGCCGTCGTTCCAAGAAGAGCAGCTCCCACGTGATCGAGCCGGATGAAGTGGGCCAACCTGACGTGGACCGCACGGCAAACAGCGCACTTCAGGGGCGAAGCCAACTGAAGAAAAGACGCCGATCTAGGAAGAGTATTTCGGAGGTAAAATGACAGTTCAGTCATCTAGATACTTGTGACCCGTTGTTGAGGTTCAACCAAGTCCCACGATAAATATGATGTGCATGGCTAGGTCTCCTCATACGCAGTGCATCTTTTAAGCTTTTTTATACAGCACGTACGACGATGTAGGCCCAGGGTATGTGGGGTGAGCTTTATTGCGCTCAGATAACAAATAAATAAGTACAGCAGTACAAATCCATACCATTCCTCATAACAGTGGTTCTCTAAAACATTGGTTATCGATAATCAACTGCCCATACCAGTATTTTTTATACCAGTGGTTCTGAAAAGGGATACCACAACATGCAGTGCTGCCAGGAGGCCCACAACACTGCTTGTGCTAAGCAATGGTCCTCTCCTTTTTTCTCACTGCAAGGGGTGCCTCATCACCGGCACACAATCGATCTCCTTCAGTACATTCATGGATGATATAAAAATTACGCCTTTGCTAACAAACTCAACCATTATGCGCTGCTAGAAACGTTTCTCGCCGGTAGAAAACGACGCCCACTTTGTTCATACATAAATCTTCGACAGTGATGTAACAATGTAACATAGTTGAAGTCCCACGGTCCTTCACTAATGAGTATACCTACGTCGTGGTGCTTGAGGTGAATCGCAAGCCATATGCTGCGCACCAAGTTCATATACTGCCTGAACCTGTTTCACCAGCACGTGGCACCTGCGCAGAGAGAACTGTGCCACCTCCCAAAATACCACGCATGTTAGCTGAGCTTGAATCCTCAAGCGTCCTTCTGGAAATCTTTATACCCAAACATGCGAGGGTTGGAATGTTACAAGAGGAGACATTATCGATGCTCCAAATACCGTTTACATCTACCTGGCAAAATGTTGCTTAGCCTGAAGTCGGCTTTAGGTAGGCTACTTCTACAGACTTCATGCACGGTAATATACACTCAAATTCTAGTTTGCATGATCCTGTGTTGAGATCATGAGACAATGCATCCGATTCATTGATGGTTGCTAAGAGCCATCAACCACGTCAACTACTACTGATTTGCGAGCTTCAATTGAATTGGGCTGGAACCACGCTACTTCCATTCGAGAAAGCTTATTGAGCCCGAATGAAGTGAAAATGCGACAGTAGACGGAGGGCGTTCACCAGCTTACTCTGGCAGGTTTCAATGAACCACAAAATTATCGTTCCGTAGCAAAGGATTGCATTCAGTAGTTTTTCGAAGATGTGTTACTCTAATAATCGGTTGTATGGTGTAGTGATTCAGCAAATAAACCACATGGCACGTTACATGAAGGCGCTAATGAGCTTTTTACAACGAAGGAACCCGGTATGGAGAAGATGGCCGACCAGAACAAGCCTGAATCGGAATACTCAGTCACCACCACTGTCCTGGACGGTACTGACGTCAAGAAGATTCACCGCTCGAAGAGGAGATGTTCGGTTGCTGCACAGTCGTCAGAGGCTCCGAGGCAAGAGGTACGCAATCGCTACATCTTTTCAAACTGAATAGTCGCTGCTGCATCTTCAAGTAATATTTAGGGCCCTGCTCGTCTGTAGCACCCGAAATAATTTGTAGTTATTAAGTATGCACAGATATTCTGTATTATTTTATCCCCGCAAAATAGCTGTCGTTGTGATCAAGTAATCCATCAAAAACACGAGGTACAAGTTCATTTTGGTATTTTGGCATAATTGTTGAGGTATGGTGGAAGAATTTTGTTAGAAACACTGGGTAGCCTGAGTGCGAAGTGGCTCTATAAGGGGAAGGTACCAGAATTTCGAAAGAATGATGGAATATTAAGAACTTAAAAAAATTATAGGCTGATATGCTTGCAAGCTATTGAACAAAATAAGTGCTTACCGAATTAAGACCTCAATAGAACTATATTGTAACAATACTGATTGTTGGCCTAGTTGATACTTGCTTAATGACATGATTTGGCCACAAATATTACGCACACAGAGTAAAGAAACACTCAACCGCAAGCACAAGCGGCACTTCCAACTAAAGTAGACTGGGCGAAAATCCAGACTCAAGTAACAACATACAGACATGCGCAGTCTTCACACAGCCTTACGCTATCCAGCTATCGAGCAATCTCTCTTCCCATAAGTACTATGTTACCGACGGTTTGCTGATACGGTTTTCACCTTTCTTTTCAATGTAATATGCTTCCATCAACTCACGCGCAGTTTTGTGCCTACTTCTACCGAGAGTCTTAACATCGTTAAAACGTGGTACACAACCGCAGGCTTTACAATGCATAGGCAAATGCGCCAAGCCATCTTTCAATAAATTTAAATCATGCTCCCTAACCCCTTCATTAATACAGCGCCTGGTAGTCCCGATGTACGAGTTTCCATAAAAAAGGAATTTCATAAACAACGCTTTAGCACATTTCCCGTACATTGTGCCATGTTTCTTGCCGCAACTCTGGTGACTCGCCTCCACCCCCCGAGCAGTTCTCGGGCACAGCTGAGCCAGTTTTACCGGCGCGGAAAAGGCGCAAGGTACCCCTTACCGGTCTGCTACCTTTTTCAGGTTGGGGGAAACCTTATGAACATAAGGAATCACTGCAGGTCTTACAGTTTTAGTTCCTTGTTCTCCCGTGGCAGATCTAGTACCTGCACTTTTTCTTTTCTGCAAAAGCGCTTCGGAGACAGCTGTCAATAACGGGTCAAGAAACTTCGCAGCCTCAATTCGCTGGATCTGGTTCTCGAATGATGCTTGCATCATGTGCGTGCACGATTTTTCAAGAGAAGATCTCAGGCAGAGCGTAGCGATAGCACGCTTGACTATTTTTTGATTGGCAAGAGTCATACGGCATTACCCCTTTCTTAGCGTGAGGAAAATATTGCCAATACGTTTGCCCGTTGTGAAAAGTTAAACGAAGATCTAAAAACTGCAGGGTGTTTTCTTGCAGTTCTTGTGTGAAAACAAGTTTTTTTCCATGAATCCTAAATGTATTTAAAATATCACCGGCGCGCATCAAGGAGGCTTGTCTGTCAAAAGAATTAAAAAGTCATACATATACCTGAAAACTTTAGCAACGTTCAAGGTGCTGTCCAGAGTAAAAGCTTCATCGAGCAACTGGTCAATACTAGATAAATTGTTTTCACACAAGAACTGCCGCAAGAAAACAACTTGCAATTTTTAGATCTCCGTTTAACTTTTCACAACGGGCAAACGTGCTGGCAGTAGTTTCCTCACGCTAAGAAAGGGGTAATGCCGTATGACTCTTGCCAATCAAAAATAGTCAAGCGTGCTATTATTGCTACGCTCTGCCTGAGATCTTCTCTCGAAAACTGGTGCGGGCACATGATCTAGGCATTATTCGAGAACCAGATCCAGCGACTTGAGGCTGCGAAGTTCCTTGACTCGTTATTGACAGCTGTCTCTGAAGCGCTTTTGCGGAAAACAAAAAGTGAAGGTACTAGATCTGCTACGGGAGAACAAGGAACTGAAACCGTAAGACCTGCAGTGATTCCTTATGTTCATAAGGTTTCCGACAACCTGAAAAAGGTAGCAGGCAGGTAAGGGGTACCTTGCGCCTTTTCCGTGCCCGTAAAACTGGCTCAGCTGTGCCCGAGAACTGCTCCGGGGGTGAAGGCGAGCCACCAGGGTTGAGGCAAGAAACATCGCACAATGAACGAAAAATGTGTCAAAAGCGTTGTTTATGAAATTCTTTTTTTTTGTGTGTGGAAACTCGTATATCGGGACTACCGGGCGCTGCATTAATGAACGGGTTAGGGAGCATGATTTAAATTCAGTGAAAGATGGCTTGGCGCATTTGCCTATGCATTGTAAAGCCTGCGGTTGTGTACCACGTTTTAACGATGTTAAGACTCTCGGTAGAAGTAGGCATAAAACAGCGCGTGAGACGATGGAAGCATATTTCATTAAAAAGAAAGGTGAAAATTGCATCAGCCAACCGTCGGTGACATTGTACTTATCGGAAGGGAGATTGTTCGATAGCTGGATAGCGTAAGGCTGAGTGAAGACCGTGCATGTCTGTATGTTGTTACTTAGTCTGGATTTTCGCCCGGTCTACTTAAGTTGGAAGTGCCGCTTGTGCTTCACGTTGAGTGTTTCTTTACTCTGTGTGTGTATTATGTGCGGCCAAATTGTGTCAGTAAGACCTCATTAGAGTTCAAGCAACGAGAAGACCAAGCAAGATTTCGTACAGGTTCTCCAATAGACCAACTGAACACTATAAATCAGGGGATAGAAAACTCTACATAATTCAACGAACCCCTCTATATAGCCTTGATAGATTTTCAGAAGGCATTCTATTCGGTCAAGATATCAGCCGTTTCGCAGGCACTGAGAAATCAGGGCATCGACAAAACCTGTTTAAGCATACTGAATAAAAATGAGAGTGGATTCACATTCACTACAATCCTCCACAAAAATGCGACTGTATCTCAATATATAGAAGGGTGTAAACCGGGGAGACACAATCTCTCTATTGCTATACCTCGCTTGTTTGCAGTAAGTTATCAGGGACCCAGATTGTGTAGTGTTAGAGATAACAGTGAGTAAAGTGTATCCTACTAACGTACGATTCGCTGATGACATTGCATTGATGAGTAACTCATGAAATGAATCACAACTCATGATTACCAAACTAGGAACCGAAAGCATAAAAGTAAGTCTGGACATTATTGCGTATAAAACTGAAGTATTGTGCAATTGTCTCGGCAGAGAAGAGCTATTTACGATTGGGGGAGAGGCCCTGGAAGTGGTGAAGGATTATTTCTATTTGGGACAAAAGCGCGGAGCCTAACAACCAGAGCGAAATAACTAGAAAAGTAAAGATGACGTGGAGCACATTCAGCAAATATTCTGAAATTAATAATGACAGTTTTCCACTATCTTTCAAGAGGAAGGTATGTAACAGCTTCATCTTCGTGTCACTTACCTACGAAGCGTAAACCTGGAAAGGTTGAACTTGAGCGCGACGCAGCGAGCGACCGAAAGAAAAATGATAGGTATAGCCTCCATAGATAGAGAGCAGATGGGGTGAGAAAACAAAGGGTATTCAGAATATTATAACCGAAACTAATTAGAAATAGACATGGGTCAGGCACGTAAGGTATAGGCAGCGTAATGATATGTGGAGTCTAACGTACCAAAACCACCATGTGATTATGAGAGACGCCATAGTGAAGAGCACCGGAAATTGCGACCACCTGGGGTTCTTTAACAAGCACTTAAATATAAACACATGGGCCTATGGCTTTTTCGTCTCCATTGAAAATGCAGCCGCCGAAGCCGGGATTCAGCCTCAGGGCCTGAAGGTCAACAGCCGAGTACCTTAGCAATTACACCACCATGGCGGGGCTGTAGGCATTGTAGTCAATGGTAATTAAGGGTGACTGACTAAATTTGAAGAGAAGGCAGACGCGTGAGCGGGAGACCAAAAATTAGGAGAGCAGATGGGATTAAGAAGTTTTCAGGTAAACTATGGCAGGAGAGCCCCGCCGTGGTAGTCTTGTGGCCAAGATAGTCGGCTGCTGACCCGCATGTCGCAGGATCGAAGCCCGGTTGCGGCGGCTGCATTTTCGATGAAGCCGAAATTGACCCGTGTGCTCAGATTTCGGGGCACGTTAAAGAACCTCAGGTTGTCAAAATTTCCGTAGCCCTCCTCCACATTTTCTCTAATTCATATGGTGGTTTTCGGGCGTTAAATTCTATATATCAAAGAAGCAGCAGAAATCACATGAACGGGTTTAATCGTGGAACAGGAAAGATGCGTTTCCCCTGCACTTTGCGTAGTCAGGCTCATGGTGATGAAACATAAATTAGGAATAGTTTGAAACTTATTTATTGATACAATATTTATCTGAGAAAGCACACACATTATGAGACTGTGTTTAAGGACGGCAGAATTCATTTGTTTCGTAATTATGCAGTTTTCCTTGAAATGCTGAAGATTTTCAGTGCAGCTCCAACAGTTGTTTTAAATTGTACAAATGCAGTGCCTAAGCGATATCTATACTATTAAAAGGATGATGAAGTAATAAATAGTAACTTTAATTTTTTACTGCTTCATGTGTTAACCCCAAGGCATTTCTTAGGAAGCTGTCAGCGTCAACTTGCCAAACAATACCAAAATAAGTAAAGTTAAATAAGGTTACAGTCCTAGGGAGAAACATTTTGAATACTGCTTGTTTAGATTTCTTCATGGAGAGGCCAACGAAAATGTTCGTTGGCAATGTTAAAAGACTATGAAACTGAAGACATATGAGATATGCTTTTCAACCAGCAACACCATGCAGCCACAGTCATCAGTCCGCATGGAACCGGAAGCTTCCACCATTGGCATAGTTCCGTTGGAACTAACGTCACTGATGAAAGACGAAATGAAACCAGACGAGACGGCTACTAAGGTGAGGTGCATCTTCTAATGAATTTTTTTCATGGCAAGTATAAAAATGGACCACTGTAGAGTATACAGGAGGTTCCGTAGCGCAATGCCTAAAGGAACTTCTTGGTATTCGTTAAATCAAAACGGCAATGAGACAACACCCGTCACCTTGTCATTGGTTTTGCGCCCACTTGCGCCGCCTGGCCAGAAGGCTTTCCCGCTTGCACGCTTTGGTGTCTCCGCATTCGATTGGAAGGACACTTTGAAGTTCACGGAAATCGAAACTTGTTATAGTGTTGCAAGGACAAATTAATGTAAGACTAGAGAAACATCAGATGCAGTGCAATAAACATTCAGTGTTAACTAAATCCCTTTCAATGAGCAAACCAAACCAACTGTATTGCAAAAGTTATGCAAGATTTAATAGTAAGTAAATCACTTTCATGTGTTAAAGCATTTGCAAGAATCATACTTTGGAAGACTGCTGTGCTAAGCTGGGGTCATCGGGAAAGTGAATCACTTTTAGCTGTTATTCTCGAGTTGACGAGGTGACGCGATATGCGTTGTGATGTATCGTGATAGTGGTTCGTAACTTACTTAGACCTGTGGACTTCATAAGTTTAGTAGCGTGTACTTCGTACCAGAACGCATCCTGATGTGAAAGTCGCCTTGCAGCATTTGGAAGTAATTATGAAGATAAAACTTTCTCGGGCACTACATTTAACAACAATGGATTGTGCAATGTTACCTATATTTTTGCCAGGTTTCACACAAGGCTGATTCCTTGGTACAAGCTCCAGAAGAGAAAGGTTCGATCCTTGCGGCCGCGCCTCGTTCTGAGGTTGTCATCAGCGCTGCACCCGATAAGGTAGGTGAAGTGGTAAAATAAACGGTCACCTTTTCAGTACAGAACCTCACAAATAAGGGACGCATGGGACAATAAGGGATACAACGGCCCCCAAACTGCAGTCCCAATGTTACGTGTAAACACTATGAAAACGCCCTTTACTGTAGCGGAATTTTTTTTTGAAAAATTACTTCTGGGTTTGTTTGAGTGGTATGTAGGGTTTAACGTCCCAAAACCACTATGTCATTAAGAGAGACGCTGCGTTCTTTCATGATAGTTTTCCAAGTTACTGTGATCGGAGAACTCAAGGTAGCTAGCTTTTTCGGTCGTTCATTTTCCATGTTAAGGACTTGCAAGAAATGAAGAAAAGCATGGAAACTCGAATTCCATTCGTTACTTCTATACTCTAAAGACGGTAAAACACGTCGTCTAATTCCGATTTACCTAGAAGACAGTTCTACAAGCAAGTAATTCTTGTAGAGCTGCGGACATCTATAAGACATGCCACAGAACGATCTGGTTCAACCCCGAGTCAGTTCATTTTCTAACACAGAGGTTGGTTTAAACGCTCGTTGCCGCAGTGCCGGGCGCATTCGAGTGAGCCTTATAGTGAATGAGCCCTTCCAAAACATCGCGGCACCGATCCACTTGACTGATAGAACTGAAATTGGCGAAACAACTCAGCCTTCATCCTCAGGCGTGCAGCTCACTCAGCGGTAAATTTGCATCCGCAAATGCTCGGTATGTATGACAGTGTATTTCGCGGATATGTAGCCATAGGAGCTTATTGGCTTTATTTTCCAACAGGCTCGAAAGAACGATTCGCGAAGGCTCCAATCAAAGCAATCATTCTGTTCGGCGCTTGTGTGGTTACAGGAACGCACAATGCGGTCTCTACTTCTCGCCCTGGTGTCAGTTTCCGTGCATACGCTAAAACCAAGAAACAGCGGGATGCATGTTCAATGAATCCGAGAATGGAGAAACAAACAAGCATCGATTATTGCATGTGCAGCAGGCACATTCACGAAAATATTTAGTGCACTACGTTGGGGTTGATATCTGGCGAGTAAGGCGTGGGCCTTTTCGGGAAGGTGCACACAGGGATTTTCGACGTTCATTCACGCCAGGGCGACAAGCCTTTTCCAGCTGCTTGCTTCTCAAGGGCGGTGAGAATGATTTCGTCGAAATGCTGTCATATTGAGTTGCATATTCATACGTCTCTTCTGAAACAAACTAGTTGATGCCAGCGACCAGCACAGTCACTGAAAACAAGATACGGTAATAATAATTATTTCTCGAGCAAACGATGCGAGCAGGTATTATTGCAACGTTCGTGCATCACACATCACTTATAGCACCGCACGCAGAGAAGCACCTGCAGTGAAAGCGACGATTAGGAAGACAAAATATATGTGGGTGAAGGTACATTTATTGAAATTTGTCTTACAAATAATCTTCCGTTAATAATTATGGTGCAGGTTGCACGAAAGATGGTTGTTGTAAGAGTAGTAATGTTATTGCGGCAAAGGAGATCTAGATACCCTTATGAAAGGTAAACCGAACCTAGTAACCATTGATAAAGCATCGATTTTCTTCGGCCACTTGATATAGCTCTGAAAACTAGGACGAGGTGCTGCCGTGAACGGAGCATGGCAGTCGACACTGATCCAAACATCACCTCTCGGCCAAGCACTCACCGACCAAAAACAAGAGGTGCGCGTCATCACGCTTGGCTCAGTGAACATAAAAGTTCGCGCAATGTGAGAATGCTTCGATTCACATATTGTGGGCGATTTTCACAACAGCTCACCTTTTAAAATAGCTCCTCTTCTCGCTGTGCGTCTATGGCGCCATGCGCACGTATCCGTCCCAAGTGCGTGACGCGGCGATGACCATATACGTCGGCTCGCTAAAAATTTTTGTTGGCGAACATTCTAGGTTGTTTTGCAGCTAATACAAACACAAGCGACACTGAAGCGAGAACAGCCTGAATCACAGGAGTTGTCGAACACTTTGCGCAGCCGGTACCACGTGATGTCATTTTATACGTCACCAAGCGATTCCGGCAGGTGGCGCCACAGTGTGTTTTCACCCCCGAGGTTGCGTGTTTAGAACAAAACGGGTCAGTTTTATCGCATTCCCCATCAGTGACGGACGTTTGTAGGCCAGTATGGTTGGTTCATTGAGCATGCGGTGTGCGCCGGTACTTAGCAACTGTGCAAGGATATACAGCCATCAGCAAGCTTAACACGAACGCTCCACAGCGTGCCCTGAAGCAGTTTGATACGCTAGAATCGCGTAGCTTTTGGATCTGTTACCGAGATGTTAGCCATGCATGCCGACATACTATCCAAGGATACTGAGCTATTATATCGGCAACAGGGCCCAGTGCTTCGTGGCTGACATCAGTCGAAGTAATACAGGTCACACGTCGGAGCTTGCTTATGACTGTACTTCTCTCGATATTAGGGGGTTAGGCGAGGACACTGCGACTTCAGTAATGCCTGTTCCTGCGACGGATAATCGTGAACTGCAGTTTGTTTTAGCAGCACGTTCGTAGCCGCATGTGCATATTACGAGCCTGAGATCAGTGTACGACGAGACGCCAGGTTGCAAGCGGTGACAGCCTGCTCCTTCATAAACGCTGCGCAACGTTACGAGCTAGAAGAAAAAAGGCCAAGAAAAAAAAATGCCATCTCTATCACGTGAGTGGCGTTCAAAGTAAACGACATTTCTTCCGGGACTAAGCCCGTCGGGCGATCGAGAAGCCGCAGACGAACAGCGCCAGCCTCAAGCTTTCACGGTCGAAACAAACGGGGGCCACACGTTTTATTGAAGGAGAAATGAAGACTGCGGGAACCATGTCTTTCATTTGAGAGGCAGGACACGTTCAGTTTGAAATGTTTAGAACCAACGAGAGTTTCGTTGCGAATGAAGTTCAGCTGTAGTGTGTACACGGCGCACCACACCTGCACGGGTGTGTTCACATATATAGATTACAGACAATACCACTATTGTGAGAGCGCTTTCATTTCATTGTGCACGTATTGCGAGAAGAGTGTCAAGCTAACGAGAGTAAAGAAAATAAAATTACTGGCTAATAAGCGTCCGAGGTTTCTTCTGAAGCACCATCGAACACTTTGCTTCGAAATAAACTCAGTTGGCTTAGTGAGTCGACTACTGCAGCGCGGCAACTGCGGCGGTGAAGCTGCCGGCGACGCTAACCTGAAACACGTTGACGTTGTTTCACGTATAAGTCTTGAACGCTGCGCGTATATTAACGACTCTACTGCACTATTACGTCAGGGCGTGAAGCGACTCATTGGTGCCTATATAACCCCATGATTTTACAGTCCCCAGCCATGGCGTGATGTAATGCAGTGGTTAGCGTGCGCACTTTTTGATTCATCGTTCGCGAGTTAGAATCCCCACGTGCTTGCTTTGAATTTTCTGGGGTTTGTTTCTGATTGCGTTATGTGCGTATGGGTTAACTATGTGACAGTAAGTGCATCTGAGCCTCAATACCCCCGGGCAGACCCCTAAATGAGCTCAACAAATTTTTTTCACCACTTCATGGGCCGTTTATAGCTAGGACAAGCCATGGCTGGGACAAACCGTGGGTGGGAGACTCTGCAGTCAGCCTTTTGGCTAGCCGGGACGCGAGACCAAAAATCTTTGGCCTATTTTAGTCGGTCCTATAAGATGGGCTGCTGAGAAGAGATGCCTTCTGTATAGGCTGTGTGCCACCTATGCTCCCTACGTGCCGCAGGACGACTACAGATGGCGCCGCCTACAGGTTTTGCTGCCTAAAGAAATCATGTATAGGCGTTAGATTTTTCGTCTGGCTTACAGGCTATAGGCTGGTACTTTAAGTAGGACTTGCTTAAGAGTGTAGTGATGTCCCAGACAAGAGGAAGTTGTGACGTCATCGTAGCACCATCATGAATGGTCACGTGGGGACGTCAGTGCATGCTATTGCCGCTTGGATACAGGTGGTCCAATAGCGGAGGTACTGAAACACCACGGGTGGTGCCAAATACTCTAGTTAAGGGAAGAACAATGAGATAAACTAAGAACTTAAAGGTAATTTAACGCCTGTCTCCTCTTGCGCGAAGTGCGATGCCTGATTGCATAACCTAACTCATTAGCAAACGGGCAGCGGGTATTCGCTTTCGAGGGCCACATTATAACATTCTGCCGAACAGTCGCATAGCCAATATTGTAGGGGAGGGCTGGGTTCATACTCTCCAAACATTATGAATTGGGTTTGTGTTATTTTACGCATGCAGACACATGCTCGAACTTAGATGAAGTGGTACTGAACCCCTCTTCTCACCCCCCCCTCCCAAAAAAAATTCTAGCTACGACCATGGTGCCAAAGTTTTATAGCTGGCTCCTCTCATATCTCGGCAGCAATTTTCTAACTGGCAATAGTTAAGATTTAATAACTTATAGATGTTACAAATTCGTGAAGATTTCCGAAAAGGCTCATGCACATATTCTTTGTGTTTGACTAGGCGGAGCCAGATGAAGCCGCAGTGCCTACCGGACCGAAAGAACCGGATAATATACAGGCGAAACAGTGGGTGCAGGACGCGAAAAGCAGTATGCAGCCGTCGCTGCGCTCAACTGGCTTTCGAGAAAGTCTCAAGTCAAGGTTCGCACTATCTTCATACCTGACATCTCTGGTAATGCACTTAGTGGTCATGAAGGAACAGTGGCATTTAAATATCGAGCAGTGTCTGCCGCGCTTGTCTATACGTGCAGATATCTGAGCGTCTTATACGTTGGGCCTTTAACGAATGATAGCAGCGATGCTAACAAAATCCCTAGAGAGCTCTTGTCTGCGCTTCTGGTGCCCTAGTCAAGTGTATGCATGACTTGTGATTTCATTGTTAAGCATGAGCTCACCCACCGGCATAGTATTCTGCTGTTTTAAGTGCACTTTGTGAAAATCAAGCCAACTTTATCCTCGTTTAGTCGCCAATTGGCTATAGACGGCAACACTGCGAAATATTTCACTGTAATAAACCAACGTTCTTCATAACTTAAACATTAGTCATAATGGCAAAGTTGTCCAATAGTTTCCGACGTGAACCTTGCCAACAATTTAATTTGAGTTTGCCTTATCAGGCAACTGCTTAACAACAATGGCCGACACTTCCCGAAAGTGAACCAGCGTTGCGAAAAACTTAGCCCAACTTCGCCCTCATTTGGCGAATTCATCGCAACGGTACACTGCGTCAATGTTAAAGAAACATTACTAGCAGTTTAGCCACTATTAATTATAAATTGACCAATTTACAGCACTACTTCACGACATTCATTAACAGTGATCACAGCGTACATGCAAGTTTGCTTTACATTGCCTTCATACCTTCCTGTTTCTCTGTTCAGTCAGGAATGAAGGCGAGAACATGAGCTAGATGTCTAACAAACGTAATTCAATTAAATCAATTTCCTCTTATGCACACATATACACATTAGTAAATAGAGGTATAATATGCAAAAAGGTCGCAAAGACGTGACTTAAGGAAAAACTCATCCCCTTTTGTACAGCGTGGTTACAAATAGCAGGCACAGAAGGTATATAAAAAATTATAACAGTTACTATAATAATTTAGTGTCTTACAAAGAATATGAAAAGAAAATAGTTGGACAAGGGTATACACGGCCCAATCAAAACAAACACAAAAAGGTATATACATCATACCACGCGAGTAAATTGAAAGAAATGCATATGACACCACATAAAGAATAAAACAATAAAACAATAAAACAATAAAAGGGGAGCACAGTAACGTTTTAAACTCTGGCAATGTCAAGTGCTGTAGATGATCGCCGGCTTGGTTGTATGAGTTGAAAATTCTTGGTGAGGTATTTTACCGCATTTGATAACAAAGTTTGTTCTGAAACGCGGAACCTTCCATACTGTTGGTGGACGAGACTAAAAAGAGTATAAGTAGATTGATAAGTTCGAAAACTCAATAGCCTCTACGTCGATAAATATTAACCCAATGAAAGTATACTGCGACCTGTTACAGCCACTTCGCAGACAACCGACGCCGGCTCTTCGTGGCGGCGGTGTTGTCGGTGTTCATCCTCAACGCCATGGCTGTCTTGTGGTTGTTGATGAGCGCATGGGACAGCGAGGACACGTACGTCATGGTCCCGCTACTTGGAGCCTTTCGCGGGCTGCGGACCATGGTCGAGAACCAGCCGGTGTACATGTTCCGAGGCATACCGTTCGCCCGAAGCACCGAAGGAATGCTGCGGTTCGCGTGAGTACGCACGCGCGGAACTATAGCACGTTGTGCAAGCGTCAGACGCACGGTGTAAGAATCGGGACGCTGAAGCAGGTGCTTTGCCGACTTACTGTTTCAGACCTGCCCACCGCGCTTATGTATCGGTCAAGAAGGATTAAAGGAAAATTGCTGGAGTGGAAGCTCCCGCAATGCCTTGCCAGCAGAAGTGAAGGCAGCTTCTGCCACTGCCAAGATGGCGGAAACATGCTCTTTTCTTATAGTGCCCACTTGAAGATCAAGTGGCTTTTATATATTATGTAAATGCTACGTTAGTTCTACATTAAAAAATAGTTGTTCCTGACGAAATAGCACAAAGAACGAGTATGGATGACTGAATCTTCAAAGAACTTTGCCTCCAATCAGAGGCTCACTACGGAAAACTAGTACTGTAAGATGCACTTGGACCACTATGTGACCCGAAAAAGCTCCCACATTAAACTCATCGGGCGTGCGAGGAAAACGCTTCGTTTTTAATCGCTGAATGGTGATACTTTATCATGCTCCTAATAAGGTGACCACCACAGCCGCCATCTTGCCACAGGAATGGCTTCACTTCTGCGCAATCATTTCTACTCCAGCAATTTTTTTAGGGGTGACACTTTTTATAGCGGCACCCATTCGTCCCTCGTAGCCGTTGTGGTATGTAACAAGTAAAACATTTTGACATCCAAGGTGGTGCCAGTGAAAGATTTTTTCTGTGCGTTGTTCAACAATAAAAAATAGTGCTCAATGTACATGCTAATTGCTGCTAATAGGGAATGAGAGACACGAGAATTCGGCTTTTAGTTGACGGACACGCAGCGGTCCCCAATAACAGCCATCGGCATGTACATTGAGCACTATCTGAGAGAAAAAGGTTGCTACGTTATACTCTCTAGGCGTATAACGTAACCTTCTTCTACGTCTAGGCGTAACCTTCTTCGTTTTAGAAAGGTTTAGCGAGCATTAGGCCGCAGTGCCATGAATACAGTGAACTAGTATATACCATGAACTTTAGGTGTTTAATGGTGGAAAGTAGACCCGAAGCGCAAGCCGTAAGAAAGTGTGCGTGCGCCACCTCTCGTTTAGTCCTTGTAATGTCCGCTGGATGGCGCTGCTTCTGTATGGGTAATCTAGTGGTTACTTCATTTAGTATTACGTCTAGGTGGTGTTAGCCGCCACTGATCTAAAGGGTACAGACACATCCATTTATCCATTCATTCATCCATCCACCCGTCCGTCCGTCCATCTATCCATCCATCCATCCATCCATCCGTCCGTCCGTCCGTTTGCCCGTCCGTCCGTCCGCATGATGAAAAGATGCGAGATGGTGGTACTTGGAGGGTTGAATAGATGAACGAACGGACACACAGACAGATGCATGGATGAACGCATGAACGGACGCAGGGGCGGATGCATGGACGAACGCAGGGACGGACGCACAAACAGACCCACGCACGGACGGGTGGATGGACGCATGAATGGTTACACAGACAAACGCATGGACAGACGGAAGCAAGGACGAATGGACGGATGAATGCTTCACCCCGCTCCATCATTCACACCGTGGATATGCTGCCAATTTTTTAAATCATCCTTCGTATCGGTTAAGGTGCAACACCTTTCGTAGAGACCCATGTATTGTGTTGTGTCAGTGCACGTAAAAGTACACCGTGTGGTTGAAATTTCCAAAGCTCTTTACTACAGCATCTCTCATATCATGTAACAGTTTTGGGACGTAAAGCTTGACGTTTATTCCGCTTGCTTTCTCTCAGCTACGGAGTCTCCGAAGCACGCTCTTAGTTCCGAAACGAAGCAATCCCTTGACGTGAGGGCATCTTCGTGGTTCTAGTAGCACACGAGCGCTGTGTCTGTTAGGGAAAATGCTACATTGGTCAGCTGGGTCGCCGCGTCCCATTGGTAGTATTTGCTCACCTGTTTGTAGTGTGCGAGCCATTCGTCCTCATCCTCGCCAGATTCTTCACCGAATGTGCGAGGCACTATCAGATCCTGTCCCAACCAGGGACCAGCCGCACGCGAACCTGGCACTAGTGGTGCTGCTGGGACTTGTAGAAGGTCCGTAGCTGCGAGGATCCGGTTTCCTTCTTCGCCGTGAGACATCTCAGCTACCAGTAGTAACGGGGGCAGTCCAGCAAGGCGGCGGCTCCGTCGTAGATTAGGCGCTTGAAGCTTCGTGTTGCTTGGTTGATTACCCAGCTCTTCTATCACGAAATTGTTTCGGTTGAATAAAAGATGGGTTTTGTTGAAAAAACCCATCTTCTCATCCTCACCCTGCAAACAAATCCACCCATATAAAAGATGGGTGGATTTGTTTGCAGGGTGAGGATGAGATTCGGAAGTCACGATAAAATTGGAGTCCTCAGGCCGCACCAGGCCTCTGCCCGGCTCATATTGTAGAAATAATATTACACAGTTTTAGATCATAGGTTCCTAAGTAGTACAATATTATTGTTATCAACCAGCTGGGAATTGCATGCCGAAGACGAGAAAAAAGAACGGCAACATTGCAAACTGTTCACATACATTTTGAGGGAAACATTGCCCCCGATAAGATGTTCGTTGTCATCAGCGTTACTGCTCCAAATGCAGGGCTAGGGCTTCTCTCATGTTTCGCCAATTAGGCCGGTTTCGTGCTTTCTACGGCCACGCTATCCTTGTCAATCTCTGAATAACAACTTTGCGCCTAATTGTTACCCTGCCCCATCGCACTGTTGGCTTCTCTTGGAAATCACTGTGTATGTCTTACTGACGAGTGGTTTCGATAAAATCACACTACGTTCCCAGCACATGTCCTTCTTTTCTTGATGGCAACACCTGTATGCATTGTAAGTTTGAGCCAATATAAAAAAAAACTGCTTGTGCCTTTTTGAAAATTATAGTTGAGTTCAAGCGAACCCACGTTAAGACATCTGTCCGCTTGCCGAATGCAAGTTTGGGAATGTATATTGAACAAAAGTTGCTTTATCACTAACACCTAAGCAAAAATTATGTTTTAATTCACCGGCACGTTGAGTTCTTTAGTTGTTCTGCTACATTGTAGCATGAATTCTTTATTGACACAGATGTACGTTCATGTGATCACGTGTGTAAATATGAATTTGTATATTTCTGTAATGGACAACTGGAAATATGTGCAAGCCGTTGTCGATTATTTGACTGCTCAGAAGGTTTCGGTGCTGCACTTTTTCATTATAGATCAACTGAACAGCTTGTAAACCTTGCCAAAAGTGTGATGAGACTGCCACATCCCCCTAATTCATGTTTCTGCTGTCCTTCTGTGCAAAACTTCAAGAATATGTACACTCCTGTGTTATGTGACACAGGGATGCTTCTGTGATTTCCGCGATCAACACCACGGACATCGACGCCAGGATTCCGAAAGCCGGCTGTGCCCAGAAATCGTACAAGTTACACGGGCAGGTCTGTCACAGAAGTGGTCGCTTCCTTCTCGCTTTCTCCTCAGTCTCAAAAGAATTTTCACAATTTCATTCGGTATCATCAGCCGAGCATCATTGCAACATGATCACCAAATGCATTTTGTATCAACACATACTTTGAAAAAAAATTGATCGAAGAACTGCATGCAGTGTTATTAAAATCACTCACTTGAGAAACCATACGCTTATCATCAGTGACCAGCGGTAGGGTATGCAAACGTAAGCTATCATATATCGGCTACTACCTGCTCTTGACATCTAATATAGAAACAGTGTTACTTATAGAGGAGTTATATATCAATCAAGAAAATAATAAGAAGTGATAGACAGCTTTCATATTTTCTCACCAGCTCTTTGTGGCTCCAACCGTGGCTTGCTCCTCACAGCTCATAAGATTTGAGCAGGCTATGCTCCTGAATAGTTGAACAGTCATCGATAACATGGTGGTTACGTTAGAATGAGAAAAACAAGAGCAAGAATTGTTTCGATAGTTGAATAATTTCTTGTAAAGAAAACGAGCAATTCAATCAAAAGAGTAGTATCCTGGACGTCTTTGTTTTTAACCATGTTAGGTCTTCTGTGAAGATGGAAAAAATATTATTCCGTCTTAGGGCTAGCAAACCCGCTATATTGTGTAATAGGAGAAGCATGAGACTCCATTTTTATTGCTTATGTAAAGGCCATGCCTCTAATTGCTTACGCTACTTCTTATCCCTGAGTAGCAAACTCGATACATTTGACATAAATGCCTCGTGGAACTACTGTATACATTGATGCGTACTGTCAATAAGCGGGGAATTCTCTGAATAGCCGTACACCAGTCGAAGTGGTGTCTTACACAAGCTATGCCTTAGAACTACCAGGACGCCCCTTTAGGATCACAAGCGTGGTAAGCTGCGAGATTCGTTTGAGGCACGTGTAATTTGTGTGGTAGACGTAAAGTGCTATCCATAAAAAAAGACAAAAGAGCACGGTAATACTTTTTTCTCCTGCCTTGTACTTGTTAAGTATGTGTAGTAAAAATTGAGCTTTGATATGCTGTGCATGCTTCAGCATTATGAATGTGGGCTATCTCTGTGATGTTTCATATCCTACATGATAGAAGGGTTCCGAGTTCGAGTCCATATTACGCGGAGTGTGAACGTTTGATGACCTGTGCACTTTAGTCGTTGGGCGCGATGTCCGTGGGTTACAAATTTCATACAGCCCAATGGTTCTCTCAATTTTTCTCTGGACCACGAGGTATCAGGTGTCCGTAGCCTACATAAGCAAGTTATTGAGTGTTGGGGCCGTAAACGCTGAACTCATAGGTTCGAGTCCCCATTCTCCACAGTCTCCTATCTGTCCACTGTCAATTTTTTATTTTGATCTATATATTCAAATGCGACATGTTTTATTCTATCGTCAAACGAACAAACTTCTCGGGACGCAGCTTGCGATTCCTTGCCCACTATAATTACAGCGCAGTATTTATAGCGCATTGGTCGTTCGCTATCGTGAATGCATAGGTCATCCGTTCCAACGAGGGCACAACGGAGGACTGCCTTCACCTGAACGTGTGGACGCCGTGTACGGACAGTACCACGCCCGGATGCCGGAAGACAGTGCTGATGTTCTTCCACGCGATCGAGTTCCAGAACGGTGACAATAACTACTACGACGGCCGCTGGATCGCTGGACTGGGCCAGGTCGTCGTTGTGGCACCCAATTTCCGGCTGGGCGCATTCGGATTCCTCAACATAGGTAAACCGCTTCAAGTGTTACTGAACGAGAAACGTGTGAAATTGGTGTTAACTGTGATACTTAGTGTGAATACTTCTCATGTAACAGCGTAATACTAACCGAAAAAAAAACTTGGCGTTTTTGGGGGTTCATACTTGTAGTGAAAAAACAGTGCTAAAATGCCCTGTATTGCTAATTTAGTGGAAAACAGCGCTAAATGCGCTCTAATGCGCATTCCAGCGACGCAGCGTTGCAATAGAAAATATCACTAGGTCATGTCTTCCTCAGCCACTGTCTGTTTCTTAGCGCTTGCCTTTAATTACAGGTTTAAAACTAGACAATGCTTGTGTAGCAAATCGTTTTTTGTATATCGTGTCGTAAAGCTACCACTATCATAATCGACTATGCACTGCAAACGAAAGGTGTTTCTTGCTACATACCATGGTTCCACTAAAAATGAAAACAGGAAGTGGTAGCGCAACTGCGAATATACCTAGAGCAATCATCAGAGCATCGAAGTAGTTGTCAGGGTGGGTACCGTTGGCGGAGAACGGAAGACGAAAAGGCAAAGACGGAGACCAAACATGCTTTAACCTTGCTACAGTCATGTTACACTTCGCTACAACCAAATCCAAGTCGAGTTCCACCTCATAATAGCCAAGTTCAGCTGTGTTGATGCCTCGTTCTAGACACGTTCAGCCTCTCTGCAGCTATTATCTTCCTTAATCCGGCAATAAGTATGCATCAGACCGATCATATTCACTGTATAGAGCGTTGCGCCGCTTAGTGTAAGCTTTGAGCCATTGAGTGCACTTCTTTTGTGGCTGTTATTAGCTACGGAGAGATCGAACTGTATAGAAACGGGGTGCAGGGGCCATTTGATAATATGCTAGGATTCTATAATATGTACTTCTATCATCTGTACTTACCAAATATTATAACCTGAATTAGGTTACGCGATAGCATGCGGTGAGAAGCCATTTAAAGGTCAAACAACTAAAGCTTCACATTACACTCGCACTTGATGGTCGTCGGTATGGCGGCTTACAAATCAGAGAATCACGCACATATCTCCTGTGAACAAGCTCCAACTTGATTGTTTTTACAAACCCCAAGCAAGGCCGCCAACCTGTACGGCAGGCCGCGGTGAGCACATGCTCTGTATATTACTCGTACAGTGCTGCGAACGTAAAGAAGCTCCATTAAAAAAATGATTCCCGTGCCTATTTTCTTTTGCCTGATCAATCCCCCTCGTACGCGTAGTTTGAAAAGTTTGTCCAGGGGCAACATTTCACACCACTAAGCTCGTCGATTGGCCCTCTGCCTTACGAAACGATGCCTTGGCCCTGGCGCATTGCAGTTTCGGCCATGCAGGCCATCGTTGCATTTCCTTGAAGTGGCAAAGTATTATCACCATGAGCATCTGCACGAATTGGCGAGCTTGGTAAGGAAATGTAGTAAAAAAAATTGCTGTAGCTTAGCTCGGCCATGCCAAAATATACGCAGCGGGAGCTAAGAACAGATGGACGAGTGAATCACGGAGCTGTCCACAAAAAGTTAAGCCATGTGCACTTCTGCGGGGCAGACTCTGATGGTCCAGTAAAGCTGGTGGCGTGTAATGAAGGGGGTTTATTGAAGTGAGATGAAGTGAGCTTGAAGTGAATGGATGAAGTGACAAAAGTGTGCGGGAACTGTAGTGGGTGTCGTGGCGAGTTCTCAAATGGTAAGTAGTGGTTGTGTTGAAATTAGTGGCACATATACGTGGTGAGTGTGAGGATGATGTCTGTACGCGAAAGCCTCAACCAAGAAGAGCTCACAGTTTAAAAAAAATGTCTTCTTTTTCAATGAACTCAATTTTTATCAATTACCTCTGCCATCTAAGTTTAAGGAGAACCATAGAATACCCCCCTCCCCCATTATTACTTTAATGAGGTTTGCATAGCTTACCCGAAAGTGCTTGGAAAATAAATATGTGCGAATGTTCGGTGGTAGCGCCATTAAAGAAGCCATGACCTCCTGTTTTTCAAATGACAGGGTGCCTCTTGAGCGACATGCCATGCATCCCCGATGATGAAGGCCTCGGTGACCAGCGGGCAGCTATGCAATGGGTGCTCAACCATATCGCCAGCTTCGGGGGCAATACCAGCGACGTGGTCCTCATGGGTAGCGGTTCAGGAGCGTGGTCCGTCGGTGCCCATTTGCTCAAGGACGGCATGGGTGGGCCTCGCTTCTGGAGCCACGAGCGCTTCTCCAAAGTGATCCTCTTGAGCGAGTCGCCCTTTCGACGGTAACGCGAATTCGATGCCTGTTTTTGTAGTACCTACCACCCTAGCGCCGCAGGCTTGGGCTATTGCGTACATACTCAAAAGGCAACAGTTCTGCAGAAACTCGCCCTAGTGTGACCGGAGAAGCGTAATCGTAAATCCGCACGCGCTTTCATGATCCTTCTCTTCATTTGTGTCTTCATCATTCGCTTTGCTCCCCTAACGCAAGCACCAATTTTTCTGGCGCGCGATGCAAGAATGTTCACGGACTAGAACCCTACATCGAAAAAGAAATACAGAAACTCTAGGGAACAAATGGCAGTACTGGTGCTAACGTGCTTCGCTGCACATGTCGTAAAAAGATGATAGTCTTTTGCTGGCCGTACTACATGAGTGCTGGTCTCATCTGCGGCCACCTATGATGCCTCGGACAGCGCCTTTTCTACGTTGAATTGATTGCAGCTGGCTTTCAGTAATAAACTGGGAGAGGCGCTTGGTGAGACAGACATGTCATCTGGTAGTGCCTTCGGGAAACACGAACTTGTGCAAAACCTGCGGAATCCCGGGGCACTGCCAGTTGGCAGCAGCATGATGTCGGCAGAGCATTTTTTTACCATGCGTAGTTTTTCAGACTAGCCTAAAAAACACTAGGGCCTTTAGAATCACGTGTGTATGTATTTTACGGTGAAGTGACACACCGCGTAATACCTACCTATTGATGTTTCACTTCAGATATGTGCAGTACTTGCTTTTTGGTCGACAATGTTCATAAGTATGAACGCAGCCACGAGCAAAACATGGCTGGTCGTTCAGCACTTGCCTATACTTTGACTAGGCAGCCGAGACGCGTGAGTCACAGAGAGAAAGACCATAATTTCTGAGTTCAAGTTTCTCAATAAATACTCAAATACCTAAAGATGTCCTCGCGAGGCGGCATTCGAACCCACGTGCCCACCATCCAAAGGAAGGCTGCGTGTACTACTATATATCAAAAGAGTGGTAAATCGGATTGAGGGAGAGGACAAGTTTAGGCATGAGGAAGAGAAAAATGAGAAGAGTAGACAGTAAAACGTGCTATTCGTAGTGAAACCGACAGCACCGAAGGCAGAAAAGAAAAGATGGAGCGAAAAAGAATCAAACAAAGCAGAATTTTTTTTATTTCAAATACCCTCAAGCTACCAACCAACGTACATTTCAGAGGAGAGGGGAAAAATTTGGTACATAACTGCTTGATTATAGGTACACAATATAGGTAGAAAATATCGCGATGGCACCTAACAATTGTGAGTCACAAAACAAAGGCAAAAGCAGGCCTAAGTATTATTGCAGCAATCAAAACGCCTTATTGTCTCGGGTTTGTAAGAATAAGAGCTCGTTGAATATACATACACTCAAGGAACTGCCTACAGGTAAAAACCTAACGCTAAAAATGGTAAAAAACGTGATAATGGTAAAAAGCTTGATGCGCAAAAGTAACACTTTTTGAAAACAATATTTCTAGAAGTATAGCAGAAAACATATATAACCATCAAAGGTGTAAAGCAAGCACCGATGTTAGTTTGAGATGAAACTCTGAAGAGTGATTTTGAAGTTTTTTGTGCTGGTTATGCTTGTGAGTGTTGCAGATAGGTTGTTTCAATCCCTTGTTGTTTTAAGGGAAATTAATATGAAAATCCAACGGTGTTACTGTGTGAAATGTTTATATTTTGGCTATGGTCTATGCACAATGAAATGTATGGTGGTGGATGAATGATTATAGAATGTAAATATGGGTTGTGGTAGTATATTTGATTGAAGAGACAAAGTCGAAATAGTTTTTTGCGGTGTGATAGCGGTGGATGATGTCGATTTTTTTCAAACACTGGCAGTTATTTGGTAGTTGTTGAGAATCAAATGGACTGAGTGATTTTGTATTTTTTCTAGTAGTTTTATATGGTTCTCATATCCGCTGTCCCACACTGACGATGCATAACGAAGCTTTGGACGAACGAAAGTTGTGTACAGTAGTAGTTTTAGTGATGATAGATTAGACAAAACTTCCAACGAAAGTATCCTAATGTGCCAGTGGCCTTGGTAGCAATGTCATCAATACGAGTTTTCCATGATAAGTTCCACGATATATAAGAAATATACTCGTGAGCAAGAAAAGAAAAATTGGAACTCATAAATAGAGAGAGAAACAGTAATTAGAATACTTATTTTATGCTAAGAAAAGGCATAAATTGAGCGAGTCAGTGAAAAAATTAGGTATGGGCGAACACGACGGGAGGGCCCTGTCACCCCTGTCATCTCAGTCTTCGCATCACTAAGGCGGAGCTGCCGTACGTTTTTTCCCCCTCTGGAGGCGCTATTCCGTGGTAAGTACCATCCACTCTGCACGTGTTTCGACCGAGGCAAAAGAAATCAAATGCTGTAACATTGACTGTGTCTTACGCCGAAGACTTTTTAAGGAGCCCTCTACATGAACCAGTTGCTTCAAACCAGAGCAGTGTGAAAATGACGTGGTAACCATCGTCATAGCTGTAGTCGTAGTGCTGTAACGCACGTAGAGTGACAGAGCAGGTCGAATTGAAGATCCAGACATTCTTTAGTTCGCAGACATTAACCTAGCTGCAATAGGCGGCTTACCTGTAGAAGTAATACCAAACCTCAAATTGTGTTCGGTATGTGTCAGCGCACTGGTTCATATCAGTATTTTTAGGTAGAAGGTCGAGCCACCTTAATTTTTTCGAAGAGCTGACCATACAGTCCAGAAACATAGTAGTTGACGTCGGGTAGTCTTGCCGCTACACAACATGTAATGCTTGGAGTGTCACTGAAGGAAACACATGTAGAGCACTTGATGCAAGAAAAACGCCCATTTATATACGTGGAAAAACGCTGCGAAAACGTTGTTGCGGCTGAATATTCACAAAATGTCATTCAAATAAGGTGGTCCGAGGACACATGAATGTGTTATTGAATTGCGTGCCATGCAACATCATTTTTTGTTTGCATAATAAACCACAGCACGAGGATTGTGGGTTAGCAGTCGCATACGCCCCTTTATTCCATCGTGGTGCTTTTTTGTACTCTTGTGCTTCTCAAACTGTTCCACATGCACCTTTGTACAACCAGGGTCACTCATGTTATTGTGAACATGACCGCAGTACAGTCTCTAACAGCGAAGAAAATACAATGACAAGAAACACAGACAAGCAATGTATTTGTGGTCGTCGTACTTTCTTGCGTCGTTAGAAAATATACTGGACCTCCAACTTACCCAAATATTTGCACTCTTATGATTTGAGTACAGCCTAGCGTCAATATGTGCAGTGTTTTTACCACAGATATACGACAGTGAGTGTGAGAAGAAAGCGGCTTACATATTGGCCACCTTACTATCCCATAGGTATTTCGACGACAAGTCTCACGAGCTGCCATCCCTGCTGAAATGCTCCATCGGCGGAACGGTCGAGATGCTCCACTGCATGAGGACCGTCCCTTCTCGCGAGATCATTCGCGCCACCAGCGAGGTGGTGCATTACTTCGGGCCTTCGGCCAGTGCCCACCCCGGCGTCCATGACGCTTCGGGCGTCACGGGCCGGCGGTTTCTGCTGGGTACCGTCAGCAACGAAGGCACCCACCTTCTCGACTACTTATTAAGGGTAAATTGTCTCTTCTGGTACACTTTTTCATATAAGAGTTGCATCAAGTGCGTGCACTGGCTCCCCTTTCCCATACGCTAAGTTGACTCCAAATGAAGGCACACTTCGCCATAGATATTGAAATGTAGATAATCAGTGACCTTGCTTTTTACACAGGGTTGCATTTGTCCCTGGTGTTATGAGCATTAAGGTGGCAAGCAAACAGTTCCTAGAACTCAACATCAAGAAACTTCGGTTACAATTCGCGTAAAGAAGACGCGTGCTTAAAACTGCCTTCTATATACGATGACAGCATAAGTAAGACTGATAAATCTAGGAAGCAAACTTGGCAATCCCCCCAGAAAAGCTTCGTAACCACCGCCCCATCTCTGCCCCTTCTGTGCGTACGCCTGTGGGCAGAATCAGGATGTCACGAGATGATATATTTATATTAGTTAAATTTCCCGTGCAATGTCATGAGCCAGCAAACATGCACTGTCTAACCAAGTTGATGACGATCGATCACTCAAAACGCCATACCAACCAGTCTCAAATAAAAGTAGGCTCCAGGGTGTAAAGAAGTAACGTGCGCTAACACCCAATTTATGGCTTTTGCGTTTAGACACTAGGTAAACTGCGAACGGAGACGAATAAGCAGATATTCCTCTCAGTGGTGCTGTGATAAGCTTGACTAATGCAATCCCTACATTTCCATGAACTAATGCACAATGCAAAAAGTTGTAGAGAACTGTAACAAGTGATCAAGGCTTGAACGTTCCAAGCTCTACAACGTTCGAAGTACAAAACCAAGGACGACGTGGGCATCCCTGTCTGCAATCTTATCATCTAGCGTTGAGAACTAGCCGATACAAAAGCTCTTCACAGGAGAGAAACCGAAGATAATCACAACTGTACAAGTGATAACTGCCAAGTGAATTGTACTTAAAACATCGTTATCACCATCATTAAAAACCTTATACGCCCACTGCTGGTCTAAGGCATTTCCCATGATGCGCCAATCAACCAGGTCTTTTGCTTTTTCCTGCCGCGTTCCTTCTGCGAACTTTTTAATCCCATCGGCCCGTCTAAATTTGTTGCCCCCCACGCGTTCGCCTATTCTGGATATCCAGTCAGTTACCCTTAATGACCAGTGGTTACCCTGCCTACGCAATACGTGCCCGGCCCATGTCTATTGCTTCTTCTTTATTGCAGCTATGTTATGCCTAACCCCGGTTTGTTTCCTGACCCACTCTGTATCTTGTTTCTGAAGGTTACACCTATCATTTTCTTATCCATCGCTTGCTGCGTTGTCCTCCATTTAAACTGAACAATCTTTTAAGCCTCTAGGTTTGTACACCTCCCGTATGAACGCACAAACGAAAGAGTATCAGCATGTATCTCTTGCTGGCAATCTGTAAGATCAATGCTTCTACCAGCATACGTCTTGGGGACCCCTAGCTGCATTAGTTTTTCAAATGCTTTCTGGTAAGTACCTATTTGTTTGTTGCAGTTCTTTTCTGCTTATTTATTAGTCTCTTCGTTGGCTTGAAAGCACAACAACACGTGCAAAATTGCATTCATGGGTGATCTTATCTAGGAAGTATTTATTGGAGATCATATGCTTTCAAATTCACCAGATCTCGTTAATAGGATGCGTCATTTCAATCATTTGTCCAATGAAAGCTTGGCTAGATGTCATTTGAATTTTTTTTTCAAAACCCCTCTCTTAGCCGCAATAGAGGAAGCACTTCTCTGCTCAAAGTTTCTGCGGGAGTCAGCAAAAAAGATGGAGATTATTATGTGACGATGTCATTAGAACACTTTTGTCAGCCGTGTGAAAACAAGTTTGTATTCTGATATTTCTTTGCTTTCTTGCAGACTTCGCCGCCCAATGCAGACATGGAGTACGTAGTTCGCACATTCCTAGATATGATATACCACATCACGAACGCTAGCGAGGTCGTCGATGCCTTCCAGAATGTGATCATGCCATCTGAAAATGGTAATTCGAGAACCCTCTTGTGTCTTAGTTTTCGGCGTAATACGACGTCACAGCCGACTGTCTGTGAACGACTTCCACGCAAAATATGTTGACGTATATGAGCCTTGAAGAAACGTGTATCGTATCGATGAGCTCAGCAGGGTTACAATACTGCCGAAACAATAGAGCAAAAACACTCAAGATGAAGCATTGTTTTAAAGCAACTGTCGACTTCTAGAAAGTATTTCTGTCCCCCCCCCCTTCCCCCTGCTTTTAAGCCAAGTGTGACCACCGCACCTTAAGCTTGCTCTCTAAAATCAAAAATAAAAAGAACGCGTATATCTAAACCTTAACTTCTCTGTAATTGAAGAGCCAATGACCATGCGTGTACCTTCACTAAAGTGCAGCTGCTTCAGAGGCACTGCATACTCGGCACTGACTAGCACAGAAAGTAGGGTAGCCTGGCTTTTTGACCAGTGCTTGCAGCTTTTATCGAGAAACTTCACTCCTTGTTAAAGCTGGTTGTTGGAATAGTCAATAGCTCGTCATATTGTAAGTTATTTAGCGCAACTTTTGAAACCCATAAAGCAGTGACACATTAACACTCGCTTCTACACAAGAAACACACACCACGCAAAGCGCTCTGTGTGGTGTCTGTTTGTGAAAGAGAGTGAATGTGCGAGTGTTCCTTGAGTTTCAGAAGTTGGGCTTAATAACTTTCTTCCCTTGAACGCGATATGCGCACTTACAGTGACTGGCCTCTCCTGGGCGTACGAACTGCTGGGTGACCTGTTCTACACGTGCCCGCTGTTGCGCCTGGGACGCGAACTCTCGACCCAGGCACGCAACCTGGTGTTCGGTTACGTGTTTGATTACCAGGCCACCTTCGCCCTCTTCAACGACACGACGGGGGCGGCGCGTTTCTCGGACCTTGACTTCATGTTCGGCCGTCCCCTGGACGGTTCGCAAGTGGCTAACGCCCAGGAGAAGGACCTCAGTCGGAGGATGATCGACATGTTGTCGACGTTCGCAACGACGGGGTGAGACCTTTTTGCAGTATAGCAATGAAATGCACCAGTGTGTCATGAGTAGTGCGTCAGGAGGGTGACAGGAGTGTGCGAGAGTGGCTCCAGGCAGTGATTAGATGAAAAAAGTAGTCGACGAAAAAAAATTCAGGCAGCCTCGCAAGGCGGACAGTGCTGAAACTACGAAGCTGCTAACTTTGAAAAGTCCTCGCTTCTCAAAAAAGTGCGCTTGAATGAAGTAGGGTGAAATGGAAATGAAATGCGAATGAAGTGTTTGAATAACGACAGAGGAGTGGCAGGTGTAGCCAAGGGCCTTGCGGTGATTCGAAGGATTAGTGAGTGGTGTTCATAGTGGGAGGACCACTTTCGCTGGCACATAGCCGTACACAATTTGCGGCAACATCGCACATGAAGTACTCGAATAAAACAGCTTCGTTTTTAAAACATTCAATTCGTGAAAAAGAAAAAAAAGCACAAATGAAACGCGTGAATAAGAGAGCAACATTATTGAGATCCGTTACCGACATATGGTAGTGTGTCTCGCGCGCCCACCTGACCCTTCCCACTGGAGCACCGACAGGCCTAGCCTGCGTGTCTTGTCGTGGGCTTATCAGATGGTGAGGATTTGATTTTGAGACTTCGCTGTGCAGCATGGCTTCCAATCTTGGTTTGCTGCACATGAATCAAGAAGCTGTTGACACTATATGCGCGAGTTTTAAGTATTCAGTGAAAGTCTACGAAGAGAAGGAAGTTGTCCAGTCTCCCAGGAAAAGATGCCAGAAAGAAAGGTAGAGCAATGCAACGGATTGAATTGTGCCCAATAATAATGAAGCTTGGTAGTGAGGCACATTTTCAGGCAGCCGTAACGGGTAGTCCAGCCTGAGCTATCCTTCACGGTTAGGGGTCGCAGCAGATTCACAGCAGTTTATTATTTACGCCGTTATTTTACTAGTCTGCACAATTCTGCTGAAGAAGAATCTGTGGAAATCACTCAAGTGTACACGGGCAGCTGATTTGAGGTCTTATATTACTCAACCGCTATGTATGATAAACATCTGTGAAGCACTGCAGGACAGAGGCCCTTTTCTATTCGAGTTACCTGACCCTCCCTGAGCACTAGCTTTCATTGGGGGTGGCAACGACGACCTACTGCACACCATGTCCTGCACGAAATGTCTATACTTTAGCACGTTTGTTCTCGTTCATTGATTTTGCCGCTGGAGATGAAGCCTACAAGCGGTGTGGTGCTAGTGGGCGGTTGATCACTGTCGTCACTTAGAGTGATCGCGGTGACGTTTCAGCCAGTGCATATCGATCCAAATAAGTAACTATATATATAACTCAGAAATGCAAAATACCTCGAAAATAAACATAATAGTCATTTAGGAATGCTAAGTCATTATACTGACGCCTATAAGGGCTTGTCCACATGTACGCAGTCCTACGTAAAAAAAAAGTCTATGGTTTTACACCTTAAGGAACCAGTACACCATTGTAATGCATGTATGGAGACAATAGAAGAAAACGATGATGAAAAACGAGAGGAATCACACCCGGAGATAGGCGCTGAAGCAGCACCGTCTACCTCACCCTGTGTCTATTTCCAACCTACCTCCTTGCTCGTTAGGCTCACCCGATGAACCTCCTTGCACATTGAATACTTAGCCTCCGTCGAAGTTTGAAATGAAAGAATATATATTTAGCAGGAAGTCGCTGAATATCTGCGTTTTCATGCCAATGCCGTTGTAAGGGCCGAACCGTACAAACAAGTTACTGAAATGTTACCAACGCGGTAGCTTAAACGTGAGCTGGCGCGTGCGCTCTCATAGAAAACCGGTTACATTAGCAGGCCAGGAGTTTCAGTAGGTCGTGGTGTATATAACGTTTGGTAAATGCTACAAGTGCAACCCTACGCAGCGGAAACCCGAGGGATCACAAAGAGTGTTCAACTTAAGTGGAGGACGACGCAGCAAGCACTAGAATGGAAAATGGTAGGTGTAATACTAAGAGACAAGAAGAGAGCAGAGTGTGTCAGGAAACAAACGAGTACTAAGGACATCATGGTCGAAATGAAGAAGAATAAGTGGTCATGAGCAGGGCACGTATCACGAAGGCAAAATAACCGTTGGTTAATAAGGATCACAGGCTGGATTCCAAGAGAAGGCATGTGGGTTTACGGGAGACGGAAAGATATATAGAGGGTCGGCAGATGAGATAAGTTCGTTTGCGGATATAAAGTGGCAGAGACAAGCACAGGACCGAGTTGCCTGGCGGCACATGGGAGAGATCTTTGCACTGCAGTGGGTGTAGTCAGGCTGATTATTATTATTATTATTATTATTATTATTATTATGGTGATGATGGTAATGGTAATGATATTGATGAAGATAAGAGTATTGAAGGCTGTGACCTAATGAGCCTAGAAAGATGTTTAAAGTAAAAAGGCTCCAACGACATTATTGAAATTTCATTTGGAATTCCCGATGCGATCAGCACTTAACTGCTTCAACATGTAACTGCTTGAACGCTGTCAAGTGAGTGAGTTAGTGAGCGAGTGAGTGAGTAAGTGAGTGATACTTCGCTCTGTTCCAGGAATCTACCGTTCGTCAACGGACAGCCGTGGGCGAGCTACACGGACGACGGCAAAGATATACAAGTTCGCATTGGGCTCAGGAGTTTGCAAGTAACGTCATAAACTGCAATTCACGACATTGCAACGTTTCTTTTTGCACTGGTTCCTTTAGAAGAATATCTAAATTGTCTTAGAGAATACGACTACACGTAAACATTGCCTGACTTGGCAATGTAGTTGATTAGAGAGCAGGCCGGGCCGAGTTCATGCCGAAAAATTCATTCCGAAACTCAACAGCACTCATACATCTGTTTGATTTTCATGGAAGAAATGGTCCCATGTTTTTTAAAGATGATAGTCTTTCCTGCGATAATTCGACACAAGAACTATGTTGGGTCTGTCGGTCAGCTCGTCTGTGTGTCGCCCTATAAACTTAAATCCGACCACATAGGCAGCACCCACGGATACTCATCTGGTTTTGGCGTTTATACTTGTGCGTATTTTGGATTAAAAGGACATATTGCGCGTAGCGGAGGCACAACATCAACACATCAATAGGTGTGGCGTTTTTGTTTATGCTATAGAAGACATACATATGTGATTATAAAGAACTTGGCGTTCATTAAACTGCGTTCACAATGCAGTGTTATGCACTGTAAGACGGGAGTTTTCTGCGCTCTGCTAAGACGATAAAATGGTGGCATTTACCCATCGCATTGCGTTTTACAAATTATAGTCTTCGATATTGTGCACACATGCCGCACGCTCGCTACATTGGAGGTTGGCCTTTGGTTTTCAAAGACTACTGCAAGATGGCGCTCCCGTCTCACGTAGCCCAAATCTCATTTACCGATTTTCTGGTGCAGAACATCGAATAAACGTTTTATTCACTTCCTCCAGGCGCATGACTATCGTCTTTCAACGACGTTTGCCGTACAATCTATCAATGCGCGGCCAATTTTTAGGGGCAAAGCTCCTTATGCCATGAGTCGTGCGTCCACGATGTATGTAGTAGTAGTAGGTACCCAGCTCGTTCAGTCTTCGTTCAGTCTTTGGAATGTTAGCTGGATGGCGGTACTTTTAAATGACGAATCTATGATGAAAAGATGTGAGATGACGGTACTTGGAGTGTTCACTGGATGGACGGCCGGATGGGCGCACGATCGAACGGACGGACGCATGGGTGCATGCACGGACGGTTGCGTGGATTGTCACATGGATGGACAGACAGACGACGAGACGGACGAATGGACAGATAGCTGCTCGAATGGACGGATAAATGGACGCACAGACGGACGCACATGTGGATTAATGGATGCACAAATGAATGGGCGGGCGCACGGGAAGACGCGCGGACGAATGGACGGATGGACGCATGGATGGACAAAAGCACGAATGGACGGATGAAAGCGCAGAAGGACTAATGGACACTTCATCCCACTCATCATCATGCAGTCCGTGGATATGCCGTGATTTTTTTCTTTTTGTCCTCATTTCCCTGGACAGAGAAACAGGCTAGAGCAAACAAGCTTAGGCTGATTTCTTTTCATATAAATCATCTCCACTTTCTCCTAACTGACACATCAATGACATTACTTGCAGAATTTTCTTCATATTGCACTCGCGCGCATAAAGGATAACATTGGCACACAAATATTGTTATGAAGGGCTTTTTGTATCACAGGTTACATTTGAAGAAATTAGAAAACGCTGCTGACCTCTGAGATATACACGGATGAAGTGTGGAGGTTTTTCAGGGTGACTTAAGCGAGCTGGGCTCTTCAGAATTCAGCTCAAGAGACGGCGAGAAGGTTGTTCGTGTACGGAACGGCGTTATGCTCTCCCATAGTGGAGTACCTAGTACTTTAAATCGTCAACCACTTTTTCTAAACACACAAGTTTTGTTCTTGCGCTGCTTTTCTTTCGATGTAACATGTTTAAACGGGACGGCTTTTTGCTCTCGCAGAGTAGAGTACCAGGTACTCTAAATCGTTAACCACTTTTTCCAAAACACTTGTCGGAATGGCTTTCTGCTCTCCCATAGTAGAGTACCCAGTACTCTAAATCGTAAATCACTTATTCTAAACACATGTTTTTCCACGTCATCACATGTTCACGTTCATGTAAATGAAGTCTGTTTTGTCATCATGGTTAATGTTTGTCCAAAAAAAAAAATGTTCTGTTGAAACGTTACTGACGCCTGTGACCAAATTTTTCTTAAAACGTTGACTTCACGTTTGGCGTCTCCCACAGTCGAGTACCAAGTACTCTAAATTGTTAAATTTTTCTTACCGCTTTTCGTGCCATAGTAGAGTGCGTTTAGTGCTCAAAAGCGTTAAAAATTTAATCTAAAAACAACCTGTGGCATTTATGAACGTACGTGCCGTGTGCATATGGGACGGGCTTTTGCTCCCCCATAGTACAGTACACAAAACTCTAAATCGCTA